AAAAAAAGCAATGCTACTAGCATAATATGCCACTTTTACTAGCATAATCTATAAATGCCTACCCGTGCCCCGTTTGCCCGTCATTTGTAGTGGAGATGATGGCCCTTTCACGTCCCTTTAGGTTTGTCGTTGCACTTCTCTTTTATGTATTTTTTGGTGCGTTGTTTGTTATGTCCTTCACAATCTGTAAACTATTATCTGGGGGTTTCCTTTCGAACAATTACAAGGATCTATTTGTCTCCTCAACTTAATGTCTTTTGTTTTAATAGAAATGGGAAATTCTCAGTACATTCGACAAGGCTACAACTCAGTGGAAAAACGAGTGATCAACTTGATGAGAACAACAACAACGAGCAAGCTTTGGTATGACTTCATCACATTTACTCCTTTGATATTGACCTTCGGTCTAAATAGCAACTGTAATTTTTTCAGTCTCTGTTATATATACAACGCACCATCGAAAAGCTCTATTTTTATTCTTAAATATTGTAGGCAAACGGCGCTCTTCTCGCTGCTTCTTAACACTTTCTTTTCTTCCACCAGTCACCCTCTCTCACCCTTCCACACGTGATTATTAACGAAGACAAGCCGAATATCAACGAAGACAAGCCGAATATCCGTCGGACTCAGAGTCATGAGCAACGCCGATCAAATCCACTTCATTTTCCCTTGATGCATATCGCTGAGAAATACCGAAAAGAGCTTCGGGACTTAAAAGAAGGTGGTCAACTGCCAGCACATGCGCAAAAAGAATCCAAAGAACAAGAGAAAAAAGAAACACCGGAACCAGAGACACTAGAGTTAGAGAACATCTCGAATGATGAAGTAGAAATTGTGAGAGAAGCAAACAACAAGGATGAATTGGAAACAGCGGTAAATGGAGGCCTAAGGACTACAGAAGGCACTGGTAATGCTTGGTTTTATAAAAGAACACCGCATAGGAATGCTGATTCAAACTGTTTAATTTTGGATTCACCTGTAGTTCCTCTTTTTAATGGTGGCCGTAGCGTAAAGAGAATACGATGAAGTGCTCTCTTAACTGACCAGAATTATGAGAATTTTCACCCACCGTGAAGATCATCTCCTATAGTTTATTTCGTTCAAGTTTTATTGAAAGGTGATTTACAAGCTTAGAAAAGTCTCTTCCAAACAGTTTTCAACAACCAGCCGCGCCAAAAAAAATTAGCAAGTGTATTTACCCATTGTATGAAAATGACGAATTGGAACGAAACAAACAGTACGACAAAACTTTTGCGACGGATCCAAACCAACGAACCAATACAAAATTCAATGAAACAATAATAACGCGATGAAAATGCCCAATAAGTTTGAACGAACCAAATCAATAACATTCCAATGACACACAACTTTTCCCTTGAATCTAATGAGGACTTCCATGAAGAACGTGAGTCTCTAGTCATTTCCTCCGTTCGATCGAATTATAATATTTTTTGTCTTCAACTCTTTTGATACAGTTTCATCTACGAATGAGAAGCAGGATGATCCTAAAGGAGATGACCGTGACACTCCAGCGGAGACTAGACCACGTGACTTTGAGAGGTAATGAAAATACTCGCTGAGCCAAGTGGTTTGCGTCGATAGCAGTGCTTAAATCGATAAGAATAGGATCGCCTAACAAGCCTTGTGTTATCTATACCGGACATGAAAACAACCTCTTTACCTTATGGAAACTTTATCCAAGATACTTCGCGGGACATACGAGAATACAATCCTTCTCCAAGACTTCCCACAGCTGAACATACAATTAGGGGTCTGGTTACGAAATTGACGTATGTGAGATTCCTCTATTCGCTCCGACGAAGGGCTAACGCTCGAAACGTCAGCTTTTGTAATCGTTACGGTGGCCAATTTACCATTTCAACTTTGTTAATATATCCAAATTATGACGTATGTGAGGTTTCTCTTGAAGAGAATGAAACTAGAATGTGCATCCAAAGGCGAGAGTCAGGCGCCTTTTGCACTTTTTTAATCCCTTGACAAAATCATGCGATGCTTAATGGAGCATAAGGATACACAGGAACACCAACTTCCCCGAGGAATCGAAGTGTTGCATGGTACTCACTCTGGAAACAACACACACGAGACAAAAAATCACGAGAAAAGATTGTCACACATACATGACATGCAGTGCACAGTGGAATAATATAATCAGCGAAAATTATGATACCTACGTAGTTTATAATTTTTTCATTTACTAATTTATTTGTCTGTTTTCCGTATTAGGCCACCTTCAGGAAGATCGGATGGAATCCGCAAACTTGACATACTGATTTCCGAATCGCGTGAAAAGTCTACCACTCGTGGACAGCATGTGAGTGGATCTGAAGAACACCACGAAACCGAGCACGAAAATAACATTCTTCGGGAATATTCGATAAGGAAATCTGCCCGCACTTTTGACGACTGGCTTCAAATGAAACGATCCCAAGAGAAGAAGAGACCCGACACTGCGCCTGCGCAGAAAAGTAGGCTCGGAAAGAGTATCGACCCTGAATCCTTTAAGAGATGGTTGAACGGCAAACGGTCGCAGCGTTTCCACACAAATTCCGAATCTTCGACATCAAACAAAAAGACATTTATCAGTTCCAGTGGTTTGACGTTTGATCGCTGGCTGGAAACAAAGCTAGAAAAAAGACCCATGAGCGCTATGACTTATGGAACGGAATCACGAGATCAAAGCGCGTCAGGGGAAGGAAACAAAGTGCGTAAACAAATCACTTCTGGAAAATCATACGAAATCTGGCTGGCAGAGAAGAAAGCCAGTGCTAACATAACTAAAGATTCAGAAAATAACTGCGAGAGAGACAAAAATACTTCAAAAGGCAGTGGAAAATCCTTTGAGGTGTGGCTGCAGGACAAACAAAAGCAAAAACAAATTGAGTTAGTCCAGAGGGTTACCACAGAAAAAGAACGAAAAAGACTAGAGGAGATAGACCAGTTGGCAAAATGGCTAAATCCACATTACAAGACTTACGAAGACTGGCTAGCAATCAAGAACCACCAAGCTGTCCTAGAGCGACAGCGGGCTCAACAAGAACCGCAAAGAGAACATGGGGATGTCTCTTCAGAGGAAAAACAGAAAGACGCCAAAATTGTTTTCAACATCTGGCAAACAATGAAAGCTCTTAAAGAACTTGATGAAGAAGAAAGAAAATACAGCGAGATGAAAGCAAAGTGGGCTACAAAGAAAAAGGACGAGGCGCCTTTAAGAAGACTCAATATCTTTAGTAAAGGAACAAGATGCAAGTTGAAATCCACCTCGGAAAAAATTTAACTAAGGACAAATTACACGTATGCTCTTCTTTATTACGTAGTTTCAAAAGCCATGGTCGAGCCATAGTCCTTACTCTTCACTTCCGGGTGGGAGTTACCCCATTTTGTAGGGTCACTGGTTAAAAATATTAGTTTGATTTGAAATGAATTAGAGAATTGTTTATGGAAAAAGATATTGAGGTCAAATTGTTTAAATAAAAAATAAAATAAAAAGTATAATGGTTTTGATCCTTGGTGGCCATGCAAGTAAAGGAGTTGTTTTAACATCGTTCTGACGATGGGCTAATGCTCGAATCGTCAGCTTTGAAACTCTTTACGGTGGCCAATTTACTCAGTTGATAAAACCAAAATGATCTTGTTACACTCCTCCACCGACGCAACACCACTTTTTTTTGAAACTTTATTAATATGCTTTAAGACTTGTTTCTTTCAAAGCCACACTTCCTCCCGTTAAATTGCCAGGTACTTAAAAACGAATGCCCCATGTGAGAATTGAACTCACGACCTTCAGATATCTAAATAGAGTATGAGACTGACGCGCTACCTACTGCGCTAACGAGGCGGTTGAGTATAATCGCTGGCATGTGGCTTCATCGTTTGGCATTATTACCACTACACGCGGCCAAATGACAGAGTGCGGACTGCAAATGGCATTTGCCGCCCTGAAAGCGATGGGCGAAAATGGTGCTACTCGGGCCACAAATAGATGATATGCCCTCCAAAAGTCGTGTGATTGTCCTATTTACCATACTATTAGATTTTACTGCATAATACTTCCTACGATGATTGACTGACGGTTATAGCGTTCACCTGATATTATATCTTATTTACTTGTCTATTTATTTATTTATTTATTATTTCAATTTATCACGAATGTACATACGGTGAAATAAGGCACTATCAGACTATTCACAGTGAGTATAAGGGACGTGGACATGGCCGTCGAAGAAGGCCTCAAATAACCAGTGCCAGATTGATAGGTTTAAAACATTGAAACGAACTTCCTTTGACCATACTATCGTCAAAGGCAGCAGTGAGGATTGATACTTTTCACTTTTCATTGGCACTTAAGACAGACACGTTAAATTCGTCGAGTCTCAATTCAGAAATCTTCTAACAAAATTGACTAATTTTACAGCTCACACATCGCTGCACCATTGTAAAACGAGAAGGGAGGAGATGGATTCCATACAGCAGTTTCAGCATCATAAAGCATCTTGCTCACCACCAGACGGTTTTCATTGGCTCTTTTTAAAACCCATATTTAGACTGAGTACAGTCCTGAAGAGGAAAATACCTTTCATCTTTTGTCCAGCCCGGTTAGCTTAGTCGGTAGAGCATCAAACTTTTAATCCTACACAACTTGACTCAACAAAAAAGTTTCTACTGGTGCAGCTGTGAGACCTATACAGGGGACATTGAAGTAGCATGGCGGTAAAAATCATCGGACTCACTCACACTACCCTGACTCAGTACGGAAGGCATCATAACGTGGCTCGTGATGCAGGGTTTCAGTCTCAATTAAGGGTTGAGCTGTGAAACGGTCATGGGAAGATAACAATACAGAGAAATTTCGGAAATGTACCAGAGATTATTGACGCTCAATATTTTTAACACTCTGAGTTCCCCTCCCTCCTTGCGCGGAGTGTGTCTTCCGACAATTTCCAAACCGTCAACAGAAGGCGTCCTGGTAAAGCTCCTAAGCGAGTGGTGACCCTGACCTCCGTTCAGTTATCCAGTGCCACTTCTAAGCGGTCCCAGGCCGTGCCCAATCTTCCCAAAAGGAAGCGAAAGCCGCCAGCCCTGGTATTCATGAGGGTCTTTCACCTTTTCCTCATGACTCTAACTGTAATCGCGTTGAATGCCAATGGTATTAGAGACCGGCCCAAGCGCGAAGGTCTTGAGCAGTGGTTGCGATCTCTCCATGTGAATGTGAATTTGGTCTGTCTTCAGGAAACACATTGCATATCTACGAGCGAGTGCTCTTCTTGGTTCCTGTCTTCTGGTTTTGGCTCTGTGTGTTCGCCTGGTTCTATCCATTCTTGTGGGTGCATAATCCTCTTTCGCCCCACCCTATCTTTAGTCAATTCTTGGTGTGACACTGATGGTCGTCTTCTTCAATGTGAATTCTTTTTCCTGTCCAAGTCCTTCCGTGTGGTTTGTTTGTACACGCCGAATCGCAATCCTACACGAGACCTTTTTTCGGACAATATCCACCCCGAGTGGACCCTACTGTAACAACACTCTTGTGTGGTGATTTTAATGCCGTGTTTGATCGTATTTTGGATAGGCGGGGATCCGATCCTTCCGATCAGTCCCGGGAGTGCTCAGTTTCTCTCCAAAGCTTGTTCGATGCCTTGTTGTGTATTGGACATTTTTCGCTATCTACTTCCACTGGTCCCTGAGCTTACCTGGACGAAATGGAATGGTTCCTTGGCTTCTCGGATAGACTTGGTAGGCATCCCCTTTTCCTGGGTGCCATCTGTCATGTCGTGTTCTGTGCTCCCCTGCCCTTTTTCTGATCATTGTTTGGTTCTTACCTCGCCCTCAATCCCCGATTCCATTCCTCCCGGCCCTGGCTTATGGAAATTCAACACGGCCATCCTGAAAGAAGCCGACTACGTCAGGCTGGTTTCAGACTTTTGGCTATCTTGGCAGGCGTCTAGAAGGGCCTTCTCTTCTATCCAGAAATGGTGGGATGACGGCAAAAACCGCTTAAAAGGGTTAACCATTACCTACTGTCAGGGAAGAACCTCAACCTAAAAAAACTAAAAAACGCAACCGGGATGTGCTTGTCAAACTCATTGATCACTTGAAGGCCAAAATGGACACTGGAATGGTTTCAGTTGTTGCACCGTATCAGTCGGCTCTTGCAGCACTCGCGGCCTTGGACCGTGTAACGGCTCACGGTACCCAGGTCCGATCTCGAGTCAGGTGGGTGGAGGAGGGGGAACTCTCCACGGCATACTTTTTCCGTCTTGAAAAGAAGCGTGGGGTGGATCGTTGGATCCCTGCATTGAGGACGAGCGGAGGCTCCATTGTCTCCTCTCCAGAGGACTTGTGTGTTACTCTCAATTCCTTTTACTCTGATCTGTTCTCCGCTGCTCCAACAGACCCCCTGGCCCAAGCTTCCCTATTGTCCAACCTTTCGTTTTCCCTTTCCTTAGACCAGGCTCGTGAGTGTGACGGACTCCTCACCGCGTACGAGTGTTTTGAGGCTCTTAAAGGGATGGCAAAGAACAAAGCCCCTGGTGTCCATGATGGGTTCCTGGCCGAGTTCTACCTCAGGTTCTGGGATGTTCTCGTTCGGGATCTAGTTTCGGTCCTTAACGCCTGTTTACAGTGGTTCTCTCCCCCTTTCTCTGCGTAGAGGGGTCATAACACTAACTTTTAAGAAGGGTGACCATCTAGATCCACGGAACTGGCGGCCAATCACCCTCCTAAATGTAGATTATAAGATAGCGTCTCGAGCCATTGCTGGTCGGCTCCTGAAGGTAATCCATTTGGTAGTAAGTAAGGATCAGACTTGCGGCGTACCTGGCAGGTTTATTGGCGAAAACGTTGCCCTCGTCCGCGACGTTTTACATTACACCATGTCCACCGGGACCCCTGCGGCTATCCTGTCCTTAGACCAGGAAAAGGCCTTTGATCGGGTCGATTAGTGGTTCATGACAGCCACACTCTCCGCTATGGGCTTCGGCCCCTCCTTTATTTCCTGGGTCCGTTTTTTCTACCATCGGGTTCAGAGCACCATAAACGTCAATGGTTACCTTCCCCCCTTTTTTGACCTCTCGCGGGGTGTTCGACAGGGGTGCCCCCTGTCCCTATTACTTTACGTTCTGTTCTCTGAAGTATTGGCAGCCAATATCCGTGCCAATCCGCGAATTTCTGGCCTTTCCTTACCTGGTTACCCTCCGCTATCACCTATCTCCCAGTATGCGGACGACACCTCCCTCGTTCTCTCATCTGACAAAGCTATAAAGGCCGTTTTCGAATTTTACGCCCCTTTTGAGTTGGCCTCTAGTGCAAAGCTGAATCAGGGAAAGTCAAAGGGTCTTTGGTTGGGCCAATGGGTTGGTCCGACTGACCCCCCAGTTGACCTAGACTGGTCACCCTCCAAGCTGAAGATCTTGGGTGTTTTTGTTGGACATGGGAACTTGGAAGAGGCGAACTGGCGTCCTCATATCGATGCGGTGGATCGTGTTCTCAAATCTCGGCGTTCTCGTTCTTTGTCCTTTCGCGGCAAGGCCCTGGTGATCAGTACTCTTACCCTCGCTCGGGTCTGGTATGTGGCATCCCTCGTCCACATGCCGGTCTGGGCGGGGAGAGAGCTGTCTTGTTTAGTTTTTTACTTTTTCTGGTCCGGAAAGCGGGAGCTTGTGGCCCGCTCTGCCGTGATCCAGCCTCCCCTCTTTGGTGGTTTCTCTGTGGTAGATGTTCGTTACAAAGTGTGGGCTCTCCTTGGCCAGTGGGTGTGGAGGCTCGCCTCCTCCCCATCTGACTGGTATTCCTTCTTTTCTTTTTGGGGTCATTCTCCTTTTGGTGAACCCCCTCCGGTTGTGTTTCCTCGTCCCTTCTCCTTTGATCCCAGGGTCTTGCCGCCCTTTTATCATTTCCTGGTTCTGGCTTGGCGTGGTATCAATGGGTCCTTTTCCATGTCCAAAAACTGCCTTATCTTCGGCTCTTCCTGTCCGCTTGTTTGCACCCCTGTTACTGACATGTCCAAAACATCCTGCTGCCTCTACTTGCTATTTGACTGCTACTTGACTGACTGAACACAGACGGGCGACGAGGAAAGGTGATGTCAGCAATCACATTGCTGAACACCATCGACTTACCAACCACAACATTGACTGGGACTCTGCGCAATGCCTAACCTACAGCACTGACTATTTTCAACGACTGACTCTGGAAAGCTGGTTTACTAACTTAGAACAGACTCCCCTAAACAGATGTCAACAACTACCCGC